ACGCAACCAGGACGTGTTCTCAGAAAAGCCAGGCAGGACTACTGAGGTTCAACATCACATCCTCACAGAGCCTGGAGTGAAGGTGAATGTCAAGCCATACCGGACCCCGGAGGCGAAAAGAGAAGAGATCAAGACAGAAGTCAGGAAAATGTTGAAGTTAGGAGTCATTGAAGAGTCTCATAGCCAATGGTCAAGCCCAGTGGTCCTAGTACCTAAGCCGGATGGCAGTATGAGGTTCTGCAATGACTTCCAGAAACTGAATGAAGTGTCCCAATTTGATGTGCACCCTATACCCCCAGATAGATGAACTAATTGACCGACTGGGAAAAGCACGATTTTTGTCCACCCTTATTGGCAAATTCCCTTGGCCAAGGCCGACAAAGAGAAGACGGCCTTTTCAACACCAGAGGGACTGTATCAGTATACTGTCCTCCCTTTTGGTTTACATGGGGCTCCTGCAACTTTCCAACGGCTCATGGACAAACTGTTGCGTCCACATGGCAAGTATGCGGCCGCCTATCTCGATGACGTCATTATACATAGCCCAGACTGGGAGACGCACTTGGGGAAGGTGGAAGCAGTCCTGGACACCCTGAGGAAGGTGGGGCTGACTACAAATCCCTGCAAATGCGCAATTGGGCTAGCAGAAGCCAAATACCTCGGATATATAGTGGGGAGGGGTGTGGTGGAGCCCCAACTCAACAAGTTAGAGGCAATACAGAATTGGTTCTGACCAGTCCGGAAGAAACAGGTCAGAGTGTTCCTGGGGCTGGTTGGATACTACAGGCGGTTCATCCCCCACTTTGCCACCAGGGCATGCCCGTTAACAGACCTAACAAAAGCCGGTGGCCCAGACATAGTAAGATGGTCTAGTGTGGCTGAGGAGGCTTTTGCAGATCTGCAGACCGCCCTCTGCACTGACCCAGTGCTGGTAGCTCCAGACTGGGAGAAACTGTTTACTTGCAAACTGATGCCTCTGAGGTTGGGTTGGGAGCGGTTCTTTCACAAATGGTTGGAAAAGAACACCCAGTCCTGTTCCTCAGTGGAACGTAAATATGCCGTAGTAGAGAAGGAATGCCTGGCAGTAAAGTGGGCCGTAGAAAGCCTTCGCTACTAGCTACCCGGACGGAGGTTTACCCTCGTCACGGACCATGCCCCTTTGAAGTGCATGCACCAAAACAAAGAGAGAAATGCAAGAGTGACAAGGTGGTTCCTGTTGCTACAACCCTTCCACTTCAGAGTACAACATAGGTCCAGAATCAAGCATGGCAACGCGGATGGCCTTTCAAGGGTACACTGTTTGCCGACCCAAGTAGCCCAACCCCGTAGTGTTGAGCGGGGGGGGGGGCGGTATGTGATAAACTCAGGACAGCTGCAATGGGCGGGGGGGTAGAAATCAGTCTCAGAGGGTTAAAAGGCCCTCCTCCCTATCAACTGGGGGGGTAACTACAGGTCAATCAGGTTCAGCTGAGAAGGGGTTACCAGAGTATCAATTAGAATCAGCTGAGAGGGAGCTACCTGAGGTTAATTAGGATCAACTGATTCCAACTAAGGGCTGCCTGAGACCTTTTTAAACCCTTCCCTGGGAGAAGAAGGGGGAAGAGAAGAGAGAGGAGTCCTGCTGCCAGTAGGTTAGGAGTAGCAAGACAGCGAGCCTCACCAGGAGGAGAGGCTGCATTCCCTCCCATAAGGGAGAAAAATAAGCTAAAAAGACTGGTGGAGAGAAGGAACGGACTTCCCCTGTGCCACCAAGAAGGACTATATTACCCAAGCCTGTCTCGCCAGGGCGAAAAGCAGCGGAGGCTGGGGAGACCGAGAAGAGGCTAGAATGTCGGGCTCAACGGGTAGTGATCAATGGTTCAATGGCTAGTTGGCCATTGGCACTCTAGTTGGCACTCAAGTGGAGTGCCCCAGGGGTCGGTCCAGGGGCCGGTTTTGTTCAACATCTTTATTAATGATCTGGACGATGGGATAGATTGCACCCTCAGCAAGTTCGCAGATGACACTAAGCCGGGGGGAGAGGTAGATACGCTGGAGGGTAGGGATAGGGTCCAGAGTGACCTAGACAAATGAGAGGATTGGGCCAAAAGAAATCTGATGAGGTTCAACAAGGACAAATGCAGAGTCCTGCACTTAGGACAGAAGAATCCCAGGCACTGCTACAGACTAGGGATCGAGTGGCTAGGCAGCAGTTCTGCAGAAAAGGACTTGGGGATTACAGTGGATGAGAAGCTGGATATGAGTCAGTAGTGTGCCCTTGTTGCCAAGAAGGCTAATGGTATATTGGGCTGCATTAGTAGGAGCATTGCCAGCAGATCAAGGGAAGTGATTATTCCCCTCTATTTGGCACCGGTGAGGCCACATCTAGAGTACTGCATCCAGTTTTGGGCTCCCCACTACAGAAAGGATGTGGACAAATTGGAGAGAGGTCAAAGAAAGTGATCAGGGGGCTGGGGCACATGACTTACGAGGAGAGGCTGAGGGAACAGGGGTTATTTAGTCTGCAGAAGAGAAGAGTGAGGGTGGATTTGATAGCAGCCTTCAACTACCTGAAGGGGGGTTCCAAAGAGGATGGAGCTCGGCTGTTCTCAGTGGTGGCAGATCACAGAACAAGGAGCAATGGTCTCAAGTTGCAGTGGGGGAGATCTAGGTTGGATATTAGGAAAAACTATTTTACTAGGAGGGTGGTGAAGCACTGGAATGGGTTACCAAGGGAAGAGGTGGAATATCCATCCTTAGAGGTTTTTAAGGCCTGGTTTGACAAATTATTTAGTTGGTGTTGGTCCTGCTTTGAGCAAGGGGTTGGACTAGATGACCTCCTGAGGTCTCTTCCAACCCTAATCTTCTATGAGTCTATGATTCACAGTCTGTTCCTTACACGTCCCAGGCCTCCTGCCAAGGCCCTGGCTGTGCTTCAGAGAGGCTGCGGGTCAGACACTCGCTCTGGTGGTGACCACAAACCTTCAGGCTCTAGGGAGCAGAGTCCTTCCCCACAGCGTCGTCCGCTCCTCCCCCCCCATTGACGTTATGATCCCCCTCCATGTCTGGCCTGCAAGATCTCTTGGCTGGGGGTGTCTCCCTGCACTGGGCCCACTGCTCAGGGTCTCCCCTCACTCTCCCCAGCTGCTCACCGCACCTAGCTCTATACTGCTCCAGCTCCAGCCCCAACTCCAGCCCCAGCACTGCTGCTGCTCTGCCTCCAGCCCCCTGAGCTTCTTATCTGGCCCCTCTGGCTCTGGTTGCTGCAGTTCTCCTCCCAGCACTGACCTGTTCCTTGGGCTGCTTCTCTGGCTCTTGTTGCTGCGTCTGTGCTCCCAGCACTGACCTGCTCTCTGGGCTGCTTCTCGGGTTCTCTCTGGCTGGCGAGGCCCTGCTCCTGAGCTCAGCTCAGGCCCCTGCTCTTTCCTTAGTCTGGTCCTACTCTGTTCCAGGCAGTTCCCACAGTTGCCAACTTTCATGCAGTAAATAAGCACCCTGACTTTCACAATAAGCCAGAAATCAAGCTAATCCCATTTCAAAACAAGGCCAAAACAAGCCAATCCCTAAGAACCCCAGCACTCTATGTGACTAGATCCCCCCGGCGTGCAGTCTGGGCCTGTGGTGGGCCCACTGTGCACCCCTGACTCTCTCCCCACCCCTTGCCCCTGCTTGCCGGGAGCTGATCAAAAAAAAAAAAAAAAAAAAAAAAAAGCAATAAGCTACAACAAGCAACATGCTACAAGCCCAACAAGCCAATTAAACCAAAAACAAGCCCAATTTCTGCGTGGGTTTGGCATGTCTGGCAGTTCCGCTCACAAGGAGGATGGGACCCCGCAGCTTCCTGATTCCCTCATTAGCCTGCCTGCCCTGTCAATCAGGCTGACCTGGAGTATTGGCCTCTCCCCGTTGCTGCTGGGACTTTCAGTCTCAGGATCCTGATTTCCCATCGACCCTTCCTTTTGGTACTGAGAGATGGCCAACCAACCTCCTCCCCCACTAAGTTTTAGTAAGGGGACAACAGTCCCCTTAGATCAGGGGTCTCAAATACACTGCTTGCAGAGTTATTTGCTGTGGCCCGCCAAGCTCCCCACCCCCCAGGAGTTATTTCCTGTGGCCACCAAGCACCCCTCACCCCATCAACAGCCATTGTCCAGCAAGAGAGCTACAATGCAATGAGTCACCTGCATGAGGCCCCACCAGGGGAATTGCTCAACCTTGCGGGGAGACTCATCAATGCCCCCCAGACGTGCCTGGACTTGTGTTCCAAAAGCACATGGACTGAGGGTATAAAACAAACAGAGTGGACACATACGGGGCACTGCCCCACCTATGCAGCAAGCAACCAAGACACAGAGAAGACAAGACTCCAACACAGGAGACTGGCCCACGTTTAAGGAACAAACCTGTATATTAAGGACTGCAATATCCAGTGGGGTAAGAAAAACTGCCGAATCTAGTTGCTGCCCAGTCTAATAGTGTTGAGAGTTTAGACTGCGTTCTTATATTTTCTTTTCTTTTGATAGCCACTCTGACTTGTTATGCTTTGATTTATAATCACTTAAAATCTATCTTTATAGCTAATAAATCTGTTGGTTTATTCTACCTGAAGCAGTGTGTTTGGTTTGAAGTGTGTCAGAGGCTCCCCTTGGGATAACAAGCCTGGTACATATCAGTTTCTTTGTTAAATTGACGAATTTATATAAGCTTGCAGCGTCCAGCGGGCCTAACTGGACACTGCAAGACAGAGGTTCCTACGGTTGTTTCTGGGACTGGAGATATTGTCTAGTGTCATTCGCTTGCAAGTAGCTGGGAGCAGCTTACATGCCAGAGGCTGTGTGTGAACAGCCCAGGAGTGGGGGTTCTCACAGCAGAGCTGGGTAAGGCTGGCTCCCAGAGTCAAGGACTGGAGAGGCCTAGCAGATCATCGGTCCAGATAACACCAGAAGGGAACGTCACACCTGTGCAATGCTCCTAAGTCCTATGTGGGCAATCTATGTCAGCGGGGAAAGGAGAGAACTTACCTCATCCGGGGGCTGAAATGCTAACTTTGATTTGTCCCCTTTGACGGAAGCATACGGTACATGAGAGGAAGGTTGTGCCCAGGGCTCTCTGATCGCCCCAATCTTCCCCAGGAGTTTGGGATCCAGGATGGGAAGGGTGTCAGTGTTGGACGGGGTGAGAAACATATCCGGTCTCTGGAAAAAACAAGAATACAGCTTAGATGGAGAGAGCTTAGATGTAGGCAATGGATCAGAGCTGAAAAGAGCAGGGGGACTGGGTTCTGAATAACCCATATTCTCTCCTGTGTTTGCTTCTTAGAAATCAAGACCCCTCGGACCTGATTTTCAATAGCCCAGAAGCTCCCAGCTGCCTCCAGAAATGTGAGAGTAATTCTGCCCCTAATTTCCATGTGCTCTGGCCATGCTGGTCTGCCCAGCTGGGATAGCCGAGCACACAAAGCAGGCAGAGAGTCGTGCAGGGCTTCTGAAAAATCAAACCCTGCACAGTCTGTTCCTGTCAAACGACAGATCTCAGGCACTACGGGCTTCACTTTCAGAGGTGCTGCTCTGCCTGACTCCTGCTGGGGCTGTGAACTAGCCAATGAGAGGGGAAGGCTGCTGGGACTAGCGGCACAGAACATAGGAGTCAGGGTTGTGGGTCTAATTCCTGGCTCTGCTAGAGCCTTGCACTTAACCTCTCTGGCCCTCATTTCCTATTGCTAAGTGGGGATAATAATCCCTCCCTGTGTCACAGTGGCATTTGAGGCCTGTGGACTTTTGAGGCTTAATTCCCTGAAGTGAGCTGCTAGGTATCTATGGCTCCTGCCTTTCTCAACAGATACGCCCTGTGCCTGTTAACAGCCCAGTCTGGTCCCTTGGCCTACATGCTGGTTTTTATGTCTCTTCCACCCCATCAGCCCCATGCTGGGAAAGGGGGCTGACTTCTCTTCTGGCTGACTGTGCCTCCCCAGGCTTTCCAGGGTGGAATCTATGCTGTTGGCTGCGTAGGAGAGAGGTCTGGGTAGAGAGCAGCCCCTACACTTGGCCCTGAAGGATCACAAGAACGTAGCTTCGCAAAGTGTTTCCAAAACCCACATGGAAACGCTAAGATGGCAAACGTCCCTAGCAGGGCCGGCGTGCCACCGCCGAAGCAAAGTGCCGCCTCCAAAAGGCTGGAATGCTGCACCTTGAAAAGGGCCGTCCCAAGCACATGCTTGGAATGCTGGTGCTTAGAGCCGGCCCTGGTCCCTAGGGCTGTCCCAGCACAGTGGGCTTTGCAAGGGATTGGCGTGGTGCATATAGCAAGCAGAGCCAGGGCTTGAGCCAGATGCTGATTCAGGACTGTAATGCGATTTTACCTTCCTTCATTTCCAGCCACTCAGCTCTGCCCCCCTCCCCCGCCAGCCTGGGTTTTATAGACTAGCATCTAATCTGGTTAGAGAGGGAAGTTGGATCTAATGAAATAAACAATGGAGTCCATAGAACCCTTGCTGCTGCCCTGGAAGGGGGGTCATGGTTAGGATGGTGGGGGAGGGGAGGGTGGCTTTATGCTTTGCAGAATTTGCCTGATGAATTACAACAACTCTCCACCCCCGTTGGCATCAGCACCTGCCTTCTGCTACTCCTAGTGGTGACGGGGCTCCCAGCTCTTAGCTTTCATTTATTCCACCACTTGAAGGTTTTGGTTTCTGTAAGTACTGGGCCCATGGCGGCTCAGCAGTGACATGCTGTGGCAATGTTGAGCTTGTACCCTGGTCTGCCAATGCTCCTCATTCGTGACCTGGTATTTTGGTGCTGGACCTCTGCCAAACATTGCCACACTCCCTGGTTTCTGAGCTGTAGCAATCTCTGCTTCCCTGGCCTGGACCGCATGGCTCTGCCAACTCCCTCCACAATCTGATTCTGCTATTCTGCATTTCTCTGCTTGTGGTTTCTTTGACAAAACAAATCTAGGTGCCACTGTTCCCCATGACAGTAACTAGGTTCACTGGGGAAGGGACAGGCTCTGAGTTCTCAGCCAGACACTGGGAGTGAGGAGCCTAAATACTTTTGTGGATCTGGGCCAGGTGTCTCCGAGCCTAGTTTACCCAGTGACACTAGTTGCCAAAGACTCCACTCCCCAGAGCCTGTATCTTATCTAGTGATCCCATTCTTGGGAGACAATGGTTTGTCCCATGGCTCTCCAATGTGGCCGATTACTGAGTTGCTAAATGCCAGTGGCTGCTATATTAACACTAGTCCCTGAGGGCCATCACTTCTGCACTGGAACAATCAGCAAAGTCCATGGCATCCCCATAATAATCAGTAACCTGGTTCCCAAGGGAGTAACCCTGTTCCTCTGATACTGTGGCAGCTCCCCACTCTGCAGTAATCTGTAGGTCTGACTTTTGACTAATGTGTTATCATTGGCTCAAATCCCTGTCTGCATTTGAAGGGGCCTGTGCTCAGGAGTGTGAGATACACGGACACAATTCCATTGCCCTTGGAGTTGTTCCTGTGCTGATACAGGCCTGGGTTTAGGGCTCAATTACATGACTAATATTAGGGAAATTAACCAGCCGCCCAAACAACAGGGAAAGGCAGAAGGCCCTTAAATAGAAGAGAAATGATCATTCACTGGAGAAGATTCAGCTGGGCTCGTGCAAACTCCATGGAGCCAGAGGATTCTTCATTGCAATAATCTCAAGCCTCCCCTCCCATGATTGGTATGTGCCTTGCAGACAGTGTCTTCATTTAGCACAGCCCAAGTACTCAGACACCTCTAACTTGCCAAATTGGTGTCTGTGATGGGAAGCAGCAAAATGGCCCTTGCTTATGTCTTACTCCGTGACTGTGGATGACACTGTCTTGTTAGTGCAATAATGAGGAGCCGTCTTTGAAGGCACAAAACAACGCACATCCGCAGCCTTTGGCCCGAGTGCCTTTCCTTCCTTGATTCCCCAAAGCCGGTGCCACTGGGAGAGACTATGTGCAGAACAAGGAACTTTCCAAGTGCTCTGAAGGTGCCCTCATGAACTTCCCGATTGCTGCCTCATTAACGCCATCAGATGCTGTCTTCTGTGCTGACGCATTTCATTAAGCTGGGGGCCTTGACCTCGGAAAGGCTCCTTTGGCATCAAAGAAAGCAAGACACCATACTGCCAAGTGGAAATCCCTCCCCCCTCTCCGGTTCCCTGAACCTGCCCTCCCCAGGGGACAGGATCATGCAAAATGCAACAGTTTATCATGTTCTCTGCAATTACAAGTGCGCAGCATACAGCTGCTGTTGGCCGAGCTGAAATTACCATGAATCCCATCTCTTTGCCTGCCATCTTCACTCAACGGAGATAAAGAGTGTTTGCTAGCAGAAGTGCACATGTTCTTAATTCAATTAGCTCTCCCCAGAACACTCCTCTGGGAGTAGCAGGCAGAAACTGACAAATTCTCTTCAACAAAGATATTCATTTCCCCCTCCCCCCTTTTGGCTTTGCCCTGCTGTATCCCACTCATTAGCTATCTAACAAAGCAAGCCCAGCCCAATCTGTTTCCCTTCAGCAGCAATTCTATAACTCTTATGTAATTTATACTGAGATAAGGGGATCTGTCTAGTCAGGCAGCGCTGGGATTATTGCAGGCAGGAAGCTGGCAGAGAATAATGAGAGAGCCTGGGAGTCTGCCCATTCATTCAATGGCATTTCATTTCTTTTGGCAATATTTATTTTGTTACTCAGGCTCTCTCTCTCTCTCTCTCTCTCTTCACACAGATGGATAAATATAGACACCAACACTACAGACAGGCAGGTATAGGTTGAGACTTTCAAAGCAGTACAGGGGATTTAGAAAGGTCTTTTCCATTAAAATCAGAGAAAATCATGGGCCTTGTTTAAGTCAATGGGAGTTTTGCTATTGACTTCATTCAGGCCAGGATTCACTCTGTTTCTAAATCCTCTAGACAGGTTTGACAATATTATGATAGTTACCTGTACAGGCACACACACATAGACACTGAAAAAAAAATGCTATCGTTTCAAAGAGGCCTTTCTATCCCGGATCTTGTATCATCTGGCTAATTGATCCTGTCTCCTTACAGCCCTTCCTGCATTGTACTTAGCGGTCTGTCAACATTTGTCACTTTAAAGGAGCTACATATGGTGGCTGCTTAGTTTGAGTGTAAGATGAAGATACACACGTGTGATCAGCCCAGAACCCTTATTTGTTAAAGAAAAAACATGTTACTTGGTTACAATGTTTAAGTGACAGAATGTGAGAAAAATAAGAGATGTTTCCCCCGTCAATGTCAAGCTCATGTTTTCAGGTAGAGAAAGGTTTGTCTAACAGGTTGTTCTGGGGTAGATTGTCAGCTGGCGTTAATTGTCATAGCTCCACAGAGCTCTGGCAGCTGAATGGAGCTATGACAATTTATACCAACTGAGCATCTGCCCCTTCATTTTTAAATGGCATCAGTGTAATAAATTAAAGTTATCTAGGCAATGACGGATCTAGGTTGAGTTTGGTTAGCCTGAAAAAAAGGATGTTTTTCTCTTTTCTCCTTTGCATCACTGTTGAATGGAACAATGTACAGATTCATTGATCTTTATTAATTCATAAATTGCAAGGTCAGAAGGGACCACTGTGATCATCTAGTCCATAACACAGGCCAGAGAACTGCCCCAAAATAATTCCCAGACCATACATTTTAGAACGACATCCAATCTTGATTTAAAAATTGCCAGCGATGGAGAATCTACCTTGACCCATGGTAAATGGTTCCAGTTGTTAATTACCCTCACTGTTAAAAATATACAACTTATTTCCAGTCTCAATTTGTCCAGCTTCCACTTCAAGACATTGGATCATGTTCTACTTTTCTCCATGTAGGTACATATAAACAGTGATCAAGTTATCCCTTAACCTCCTCTTTGTTAAGCTAAATAGATTGAACTCTTTGAGTCAATCACTATACATCATGTTTTCTAATCCTTTAGTCATTCTTGTGGCTCTTACATGAACCCCCTCCAAGTTTTCAACATCGTTCTTGAATTGTGGACACCAGAACTGGACACAATATTACAGCTGCAGTTGCACCACAGTGCCAAGTACAGAGGTAAAATAATCTCTCTACTCCAACTCAAGATTCCCCTGTTTATGCATCCCAGGACTGCATTAGCCCTTTTGGCCACAGCATCACACTGGGAGCTCACGTTCAGCTTATCCAC